CTCGTTATGCTATTAGTTTGATGGACAATTTTTATTCTGTCAGGGTCATTTTTATTGAATGTTTTTTTTTTTAAATTGTGCAAATGTAAAATTCGGATTATTATGAGCATATTTTGTTTACAAAATTATTACATTTAACTGTCCCGTAATATAAACATTATGTATGTATATTGTACAGTATAATAGTTAGTAAAAATTCCGCCTATGATCCTTATTATTACAACTTCTAATAAATAGGAGCGCCTAATTTATACGTAAAAGAAGAAAAGATAAACTTAAAGATAAAATCATAACTTTATTACGATTTACTGTACCAATGTCATTTAAAGTTGGTGTAAATTGCAGATCAGGAAAACAAGAATTGTAAATTTTGAATATTTGATTACTATTTTAATTTTATTTAGAGTCGAGAATATTATTAAAAGTAAATGAATAAATCTATATAATTTAATAATTAGATATTGCTTTGTATTTTTATTCAGTTTTTGTATTTCATTTCTATTCGAAGAGGTAAAATATATAATATCGCTTGAAAGATTTATACGAGATAAACAAGATGTGATAGGTACGTTATTAGAAAACATTGCATTGCTCACGATTCACGATAACTCTGTAGAGGGCCAGTGACCATATGGCGCTCGGATTAGGTCAAATCTGCGTTGGGGTAGTATTTCATAGGCGCTAGCGAGCGTACGCCAACCGCTACTCGAGGATAAAACGCTGACCATGCCACTTTACTAATACTATTACTAAATCGTATGACTTAGTGGTCAAAAAATAAAGAAGTATAAACTTGAGTGTTGGAGCCGGCTTTAAATCCTAACCGGTTGAAATATAAGTTTGAATGTTATTTATTTGTGTAAAATGCAAATTCCTACCTAACCTTAATAAACTTGAACATGTCAGTGTCCTGTGTGTACAGCTCTTGCATTGTGATTTGGCCGCATGCCTTTGGTACTGTATCTTTGCTCTACCTGAATACCTATGTATCACATAAAAAGAGACTAGGCGCTAACGTGTTTGATACAAAGTTATAATTTTTATCGAATTAATTTAATATTAGGTAAATAAATCCCTGCAGTTACATATTTATAGTTGTTTTTTATAAAATTAAAATTAAAAAAAAAACGAACTAACAGTACACTTGAAGTGTAAGCAAAAAAGGTGGACACTACATACACGAGTATATTCTTCTCGAAACAATTACACTCACCAGGTTTTCTTTTTGTATTTCTTTTTATAGGTTTGTTTTAAAGAACTATATTATATTATAAGACTATTTCTTAAAATTTTCAGCCTTGTAAATAAATGTATTTTAGGAAATATTTTATTAATATACAAATATTTTATTACTAATGACCACTGCTGAAAAAAGGCTTCCCAAATAGATTGCCTCATAGGCGGGATATTTGCCATAGTTGCCACGCTTGGCGAGCGTGTTGGCAACCGCAGTTTTTTATTGGAAGTTGTTATTGGGAAGGCGCTGCTGCCCATCTCCTGATTTGTTTCCCTCTGTCGCCTCTTACAACACCCGCGGTATGATATGGGGTAGTGGAAATTCTTACACCTACACTACACGGTATCACAGAATAAATAATAATAGTAGGTACTACGTAAGGGTACTTTAACTATATTGTTAAATTAACGTATTGTTAAATTAATAATGTTAAAACTGTAGCTTTGTTAAAATCAAAAAGAGTTAGTGATTTATTGATTGTCAATATACGCTTTAATAACAAAATCTTTCATTAATCTACAAATTAAAAAAAAACGACAGCTTATTGAAAGATATATTAATAGTGTTGCGTAATTATTAAGATAAAATGTATCATATCAAAAAGATGTTTCCAAAATTATTCATATAAATTTTTAATTTAAAAAAAAATGCTTTATGACCTGGGTATAATTTGTTTTGATTTTTAATAAATATTTTGTCACATCTATGTTGGATAAAAATATTCTCTTCTATTTCGTCTTGCGTACGATGAACCGAAGAATAATACTTTCCTATTATTTATCCTTTATTAAAACGACAAACAAAAGTTTTATTACCAGGCCTCTGTTTAATTGGAAATGGTTTATCGTGTATACGGGTTGCGTACAGGAATAAATAGCTAGCTAAGTGGCGATATCTCAATCATTTTGATTAAGGTTAAAATAATTCGGTCAATGAGCGTCTCGTCCGGTCCTCGCATGGGTGTGATTTATCATCACCAGTGTGGTGTTACTTTTTTACGCCTTGATCACAAAATGCCAACATTTCTCTACTATTGTTACATTAAATCTACAAATTAATATTATATTCTGACCAGTTTCAAGATTTTTTTTTAAATAATGGTTCAGGGGAAAAAAAGTACCTTATCCGCTTCTCGTCTTCTCGATAATATACAAGTGAAATGCGCATTATTGGGTCGCGGATTAGTAACTTTGTCTATTTAGTGAATATCCCACCTTAATTTCCTTTAGTCCAAAGAACAGCCAACCCGCCCGAAGGCTAGTTAGTGTTCACGCCACTACCTCTTGATTCTGTGATTATGTATATTTACATACATACATACCTACAATTACATATATATATATACAATTATATATATGTACATATATATATATATATATATATATATATATACATATATATATATATATATATATATATATACATATATATATATATATATATATATATATATATATATATATATGTCTAAGTTTGTTTTATCTAAATAGCACAGTTGTTAAATACAATATTTTTACTTTTACTAAAAACACTTAAAACCCAAAGTAAACGCCTCGGTTTTTAAAAAGTACTTTAATTTGTTAAAATAAGTTTACTATACGTAATGACCTTGACCTACAAAACATACTAAAATGGCATGATTTCACTGTCAAATATTATTTTATTTATTAAAAAAATTGCGTCATTATTATTTAAATAAAAGTATCAATGTTAAATTTTTATAAAATTATTTTCGGCTTATTACACTAATTTCGCAATTTTTTTTCTTTAAAATCTCAAAATGACCTTATGCCTTAACGAAAATAATTTATAACAAAATAGGCAGAAAAGAAACAAAATTTGGCATTATGATCGTTGCTTTGCGACTAACCGGTTCATACATATAGTGAAAAAAATCTTAGGTCTCGTTCTCCAAATATTACGAGTACGAAACTTATAATGCAACTACTCTTATTGTAGAAAGGCGTTTACTGGTAGCTTAAAAAAGAGTTTTAGTTGTTTTTTTTTTACAGAATAATGGTGACTAGTGAGCACACAGACCACCTGATTGTAAGGGGATGCCTAAAGACATTTAAATCTATCCTCGATTAAGAATCAAAATGCAGATGCGTTGTCACCCTTAAGGACTAAAATGCAATGCTTCGTATTCAGTAAAAAGGGTCTTCAGTTCTCTACAGTCACCATACGCAACACAGCTTGAGCTGCCGTTCTACGATGGTATTCTGTGAGAGCATGGTTCTTCTTCGATCGAGCCGATCCGTTCGTGCTATAACTTTAATATAGCTATATATATATAAGTATGCAATGTTGTAATATAAATTGATTTGTATTTAGTTTAAGTTTTGACAAAAACGAAGAATAAACTGAATCCAAACATTATTACAGTTTGAGAAATTTATTTGCTTAGCGAACATGAAATTCAGAGAATCCGCCAAAATGGTGATTGTAACAAGATCCGAGTGGTGGGTACTAAAATAGCCGCGCAAAAAGAGCACGAGCGCGAGCGCCTCGTCACAATCATGAGTCACACGCTCCCGCTCCCGCCTGCTGCGGCTAGCTGCGATACACGCTATTTGCTTTTGCTTATATACTTTTTTATAAATCTGTTTGGCACACACATTAAATAATTTAATTTAAACAAAAATTAAGTAATACAAAAGGAACAGCATAATATTTTAATTAAATAATTTCATATAATGGTGTAATTAGACGGACCTAGGTAATACCTAAGAGTTAATAATATAAAGGTTATAAAAATACATAAAGACAGATTTTCAAACGTCAGGTAAAGTAATTCATCAAGTAAATTATAATTTGACTGAATATAAAAGTGAAACATACAACATAAACATATATTCTCACGCTTGTCACCCAGGGGGATAGGCAGGTACTACTGACTTCTATTTGGTACGATCCTGACGCCTCTCTCTTGCATTATTCACGTCCATATATTATCTCCAAATACCATGGTCGTCAGTCCAGGGTACTCCTAATTTAGCCCAGATTCAATATATAGCCATTTTGGTCGATAAGCTTCCGTCTAGGTCAGGGGTGGCGAACGCTTGTGTATCAACGCGCCATTTTTCTGAAGAAATGTTTAATGAGGCTATAGACGTGTCGTAATCGTAAAATAATTTTTGTAGAATCACTCGCGTTCGTTCGTAATATAATACTCATAGTGAACTTTGTAATAGGTGGCGCGCCCAAAGTATTGTATCGCGTGCCATTGGTTCGCCATCCCTGGTCTAGGGCGTCCCTGTCGACGACACTTTTATATCTTAATACTGGTCGCAAAATCTTGTAAACCTTATTTTTTACCACAATATTACTCACTATTACATTCAGAGTCATTAATAATATACTTGTAAATGACCGTATTTCTACAGTATATAAAGTAAAACAATTGAACTATTTTCATGCCACTATTATTTTTAATTTATTTATGCTGTATTTTAAGCCATGAACAAATTATATGAGTAGACTGAAAAATCTGTACTAAGTAAAAAAAAGTATGTAATTAAAGCAATAATAATTATTATGAATGTAAGCATGCATTATATAATATACATAGATACATAAATGTATACAATTTATGATTAAATGTAAGAAATACGAATAAACGGTTGCTGAGAAGATTCTGTCATTTTTTATCGTAAATGCGGAATTTGATTTCGATAGAATGATGTTATGTTCTAAGCTTATTAAAGTTGTAGCGCCGGATATTCCAATTCATATATTTACGAGACGTTTTTCTTTGTTTCAGTGGAGAGTGCCGCTGACCGCATGCCAATTACTTCTGGACGACCAGGGGATCCTTCTCCGCCGATTTTTGAACAAATATTTAAAAATGCGAGATTCGCTCAAGGTGGCAATGCAAAATTTGAAGGCAAACTTAGAGGTAATCCTACACCAGTAGTGTCATGGACGAGAAAGAAGGCACCTTTAGTAGAATGCAACAAATATAGCATGAATTATAACGAACAAACTGGTGATGTCTCATTGCTTATAAAGCAAATTGGCCCTGGTGATGAAGGTGAATATACATGCACAGCGCGTAACCAATATGGTGAAGCGATATGTTCAGTATACATACAACCAGAGGGTGTTCCCGTTCCAGCACATCAAAACTCACAACAACAATGTTATCGGCATGTCAGTGAAAGTGTCGAACACAAATCCTATGGTACTCAAGGATATAACACAGAGCAAACTCATCAGACTCAGAAAATTGCTTACACAAATGGAACCGATCATTCTTCTACCGAAGACTTTAAAGTTGATACTTTTGAATATAGACTATTAAGAGAAGTCTCATTCCGAGAATCGATTACTCGTCGTTATATAGGGGAAAGTGATATTCATATTAATACCGAAATCGACAAGACCCTAGGAGGAGTTTCCCCACCAAAAATAGGACAAAAACCAAGAAATTCTAAACTACAGACTGGAATGGACGCGCAGTTTCAAGTACAACTATCTGGTAATCCAAAACCGAGAGTCACGTGGTTTAAGAATGGACAAAGAATAACAAATTCAAGCAAACATGAAATAGTTACGAATAAAAGTCAAACGACGCTTAGGGTAAGAAATACACAAAAGTCTGATGTAGGTCATTATACACTACTCGCAGAAAACCCCAATGGTTGTATTGTTACGTCAGCATACCTTGCCGTCGAATCTCCTACAGAGACATATGTACAAGACCAAAAATCGCAATACATTATGGATACACAACAAACAGGTATAGAAGAAAGGGTTGAAATTAGCGAAAAATCTCTCGCTCCGCAGTTTGTAAGAGTTTGCCAAGACAGAGATGTAACAGAGGGCAAGATGACGCGATTCGATTGCCGCGTCACAGGCAGACCTTACCCAGAAGTCACGTGGTTCATTAATGATAGACAGATTCGGGACGATTATAATCATAAGATTTTAGTAAACGAATCCGGAAATCACGCTCTTATGATTACAAATGTCGATCTTAGTGACAGTGGTGTAGTTACATGTGTAGCACGAAACAAAAGCGGTGAAACGTCGTTTCAATGTAGGTTAAATGTAATAGAAAAGGAGCAAGTAGTGGCTCCTAAATTTGTTGAACGTTTCAGCACTTTGAGTGTTCGTGAAGGTGAACCTGTAGTGCTTAATGCACGTGCGGTTGGCACACCTACACCTCGGATCACATGGCAGAAGGATGGCGTAGCGATTATACCCAATCCAGAATTACGAATTAATACCGAAGGTGGGGCCTCGACGCTGGACATTCCGCGAGCCAAGGCGTCGGATGCGGCATGGTACCAGTGTACGGCCCAGAACGTCGCAGGCTCCACTGCCACTCGGGCTAGGCTCTATGTTGAAGTTCCAAAAGAGCCACCGCCTGAACAAAAGCGTTTACACTTGCCTCGACCAACAAAAATTATTGAGCCAGAGTAAGTAAAGTTTTCTTTAAGATATCGTTACGTGGTTTTAAAATTATACAACTTTAAAATAATTATTGTTAATATTTTAGACCTGCTCCTGGACCTGAAATTATATACTTAAGACACGTAGAAAGAGCACGACCGTACATCCCTCCGGGCGAGGAAGATCGAATTTACCCTCCACCACAGTTCATTATTCCACTTAAGAGTGTTACACAGATGGAAGGTGGGAAAATTCATTTTGAAACTAGAATAGAACCTGTAGGCGATCCGTCTATGAAAATTGAATGGTTAAGAAATGGACAGAGTATCGAAGCCAGTAAGTAAAGCAATCCTATTGTGCTTAAAACTCAATTATATACACGATATACGAAAATAATATGCGTGAATACTAAATTCTCATGTGACATATAATATTAAACTAGACTCGTAATTAGATTGAAAGGACTGAATTTATTTTTATTAAAATATTTATAATAGTAGGATTTTGCTGTCTCTATTATTTTATTGTGTGCTTTTTGTATGTGTAAAAATTACGTCACCTTAAAGCGACAATATTATTTTATTCATTTTCTTGTTCCAGGTTCTAGGTTCACTTCTATTTTTCGATTTGGATATATATCTTTAGATATGCTTAGTCTTAATATCCATGATAGTGGAGAATATACATGCCGAGCCGTTAGTGCAACAGGCGTTGCTGAAACAAAAGCCATGTTGCATGTTACGCCAAGGGCAATTATCGAAAGAACAAGCCAACATCCAGAAAGTTTACAATATATACAACAGCTGGAAGATTACTCAAAGTTCCAGCGAGAAGAATCAATTGAGGAACAAATTTCACAACGGCCTCAATTCATAAAGCAATTACAAGACCTTGGCGAGCTTCAAGAGGGCAGAAATGCTCATTTTGAAGCGCAACTTACTCCCGTAAGTGATCCTACTATGAGAGTTGAATGGTATAAAGATGGCAGACCAATCACAGCCAGTTCGCGAATCACGTCAATCTTCAACTTCGGTTACGTCTCCCTTAACATCATGCACCTACGGGCTGAAGATGCTGGTTCGTATACTGTCAGGGCTGTAAATAAGCTTGGTGAAGCCATCAGTACTGCATCAATTAGAGTAGCAGCTAGGAGTACAGTTACATCAGATCTCGGCATACCAGAGCAGCGAAGATATATTGAAAAAACAGAACAACTTGAAGCATATCAACAACAACAGTATCAGAAATATTATCAGGAAATTCCAGAAAGTACACAACGACCTGAATTTAAAACCCCTATAAAAGATCAAATTAATATTAAAGAAGGAGGATTTGCTCATTTTGAGGCTCGATTAGAGCCGGTAGGAGATTCTACTCTAAAAGTAGAATGGTTAAAGGATGGACGTCCTGTTGAAGCAAGCTCCAGAATTACCACTTTCTTTAACTTTGGGTATGTTGCGCTTACAATAAAGTCTGTGACTATTCATGACGCAGGTCATTACACATGTCGAGCATATAACGCTTTTAGTCAAGCAACAACCAGTGCTAATCTAACAATTATAACAAAGAAAGATATAATAGCTGAATCACAACATCCAGGTGGTTTAGAAAAAATTCAGTATTTAGAAGATTCTAGCAAGTACTCCAGACGAGTAGAAGAAGAGTTGCAAATTACACAAAAACCAAGATTTTTAGGTCCATTAAAAGGTACAAATAAAATCGTAGAAGGACAAAGTGCTCACTTTGAAGCTAGGGTTGAGCCACAAAGTGATCTTACTATGACAGTTGAATGGTATTTTAATGGAAAATTAATAAAAACTGCAAACCGAATACAGACTTACCACGATTTCGGATATGTTGCATTAGATATATCAGGAGTCAGATCGGATGATACTGGAGTTTATACTGTTGTAGCAAGGAATGCCGCTGGTGAAGCTCAATTGAGTGCATCAATGACAGTTGAAAGTAAGTATTTATTAAAATGAAATAAACAAATTATTCTTATTATTTTTAATTTAAACTAATCGAATTTTCGTTTTGTTTTAGCCCGATCAAGTATCGATACATCAAGCATTCATCGTGGCTTATATGAAAAGACTAGACATATTGAAGAATCTAAGTTTGTAGAACCAATGTATCATATAGAGGAAATTTCGAAATCTAAGCCTATATTTATACAGCCACTGTCAGATCCGCAACCGGTTTCTGAAGGAAAAAATATTCATTTAGAATGCCGTTTGGAACCTATGGGTGACCCAACTATGAGAGTTGAATGGTTCCATAACGGAAGAGCTGTTACTGTGGGATCTCGCTTTAGAACTTATTATGATTTTGGTTTCGTGGCCTTAGATATTATTCATGCTACATCCGCAGATCAAGGAGAATACACAGTAAGGGCAGTAAATCATTTAGGTTCTGCTCATACTTCTGCAATGGTGCGAGTAATAGAGAGATCAGATATAGTTACAGATACTCAAAATGAACAAGCTTTTGAGCAGATACAAATACTAGAGGATTCTACACGAAGAACGAAACATCAACAAGAAGATATAACGGTAATGCAAGCACCACATTTTTCACGGGCACTACATAATATTGAAACAGTTGAAGGTACTAATGTGCACTTGGAGTGCAGATTGCAACCAGTTGGAGATCCCACCATGAAAGTTGAATGGTTTTGCAATGGTAGACCCATAAAGACAGGACACAGATTTAGACCAGCCTATGAATTCGATTACGTTGCACTTGACCTTTTAAGTGTTTACCCCGAAGATTCTGGTGTATACACATGTCAAGCCACAAACCAGCTTGGAGAAGCAGTAACTTCATGCGCTTTACGCGTATTAGCCAAAAAGGACTTAATTTTTGACTCACAGCACCCCTCTGGTTTGGAAAAAATCCAATATTTAGAAGACGCTTCGCGTTATAAGAAATCCGAGGTAATTGATGAATCTTTTAACATTAAACCTCATTTTGTTACCAAACCAAAATCCATTGACAACGTAAAAGAGGGTCAACATGTTCACTTCGAATGTAAACTCGAACCAGTTACTGATCCTAATTTAAAGGTGGAATGGTTCAAGAACGGCCAGCCTGTAACTATAGGCCACAGATTTAGGCCAATACACGATTTTGGATATGTAGCCTTAGATATTATTGATTTGATTGCAGAAGATTCTGGTATATATACATGCAGAGCAGTTAATCTTATTGGCAGTGATGAAGTGAGTTGCAAATTATCTTGTCGAAGTACCGCTGATATTATTCGAGCTACTCAAAATGAAGCTGGCTTAGAACAGATTCAAGTTTTAGAGGATAGATCTAAGTTTTCTAGAACTGACTTCGTAGACGAAGTTACAACGCAAGCACCTATATTTACAACATCTCTGAAAAATATTGAAATAAAAGAAGGACAAAGAGCTCATTTTGAATGCCGCTTAATACCTGTCTCAGATCCCACCATGAAAGTTGAGTGGTATCACAATAATAAACCTTTAAAAAGTGGTTCACGATTTACTGAAACTAATAACTTTGGGTTTGTGGCTCTTGACATCATGGCTTGCTTACCAGAAGATTCCGGTACGTACACTTGCCGGGCTATAAATGCTTTAGGTGAAGCCGTGACCTCAGGAAATGCAGTGGTGCATTCCAAAAAATCGATTTATTTAGAATCACAACACGAAGGGGCTCTTCCTAGACTAAATCAATTAGAAACGTCAAGGCATCAAAAGCCATTAGCACAGGATGAATTTACAACTCAGGCACCAGTATTCACGATGCCAATGAAAGATATCCGGGTAGCTGAAAATCAGGCTGTGCACTTTGAAGCAAGACTCATACCCGTCGGTGACCCTAAACTGCGTGTAGAATGGTTACGAAATGGTGTGCCTATTGCAGCCTGTAAGTATTCATTTTATATTTTATACTATTTTATTATATTAATATTGTTACATTAAATGTATTAAAAACTAATATAATGTTTCAGCTAATCGTATTACTACCATGCACGATTTTGGATATGTCGCTCTTAATATGAAATATGTGAACCCTGAAGATTCTGGTACATATACATGCCGAGCAGTTAATGAATTAGGAGAAGCAGTAACATCATCGACTTTGTTTGTGCAATGTAAGTGTTTTATATTATTTAATTTTATTACATACTATTGCTAATAATTATTCCTAGTAATTTTATAAATTATTTTAATTTTAATTAAGTATCTTTCAAAATTGATGCGATGACGATTCACTCACATCCGTATTTATGCCACCTAGCAGCAGTGCATCGACTGTTTTGTTCCGGTTTGAAGGGTAAGAGAGGGGTTTATTCAGGCAGCTATATTAATTATGGCATTACGTAGAAGAGCCATGCTACAGCTACATATATTATAGTTGTAGCACGAATGGGTCGGTTCGACCGGAGAAGTACCACGCTTTCACAGAATACCATCATAATAGTAACAAAGCATTATCGTTATATTCAGCGTGTTCATGGGCTGCAGTATTCAATTACCATTTACTTATTTTTTATTTAGTTAAAAAAGTTAATTTCACAGTAGAATATTCTCCTGTATAGTAAAGGTAGTTCACGTATTATATACTCGTAATCTTCAAAAGAACATATTATTTCTAGGCTATGCACACATTTGTTTAACCAAGGTCAAATTCACTAATTGGGACGAATCTAAAAATCTAATAAAATTTACAATTTGAAATTTGTAATATACTTAAAGATTTACATTTTACATATCTACATATTTCTGTTCAATAAAAAAAAATACAAAGATGTCATAGTAAAAATTTGCGTAGTTGTAGAATAGTAGTTACAATTTTACATTAGTCTGTGCAATAATTTTTTTAACTCGACAGACAATAATTTAAAACGGAATAGTATATATAGTATAATAGAAATAGATATTCTATAAAATTTAAAAAGGTTTTATCGTGTATAAACCAAAGAGATTTAAATATATATACTATGTAACTTAAATATCTTTTAAAATATATGAGTGTTATTTTAACAACTTTGTAGCTTTTTAAACGGTAATTACCACAGAACACAATTACTCTCTACCAAGAGGTAACTACGGTACAATTTGTTGTTGGATATGTATGTCAAAGCAAAATATTATTTTATATAGTGAAAAATTAACTAAAATATCACATATATTTTAGTTAAATATACGTATCTAACAAACTTTTCAAGTACACATATATTTTAAATCTATGTGGCATTCCTTAATGATTTCAAATAAATTCGCCATGACCGATGTCTTCCTTTTCTCAATTTTGAACAATGGGGTTCAACGTAACGTTCATTTTAGTCTGTTCATTTTATAATAGACAGAGTTACCCCTGAATTATGTTCTATTGTTTTACATTTTATTTTCGGAATCATATTAATATTTGAATTAACTATCAAAGTATTATATTATTAAGTCATCATTAACATTATTATAGCCCATCACAAGTCCAATGCTGAACATAGGCCAACAAGGAATGATACAAAGCACGCACATAACGAAGACCATGGGTCCAAGTACATCTCACTACCAGTACCTTTCAGTACATGCCGTCACATCTTCCCGTTACGTTACCTCAACCTGAAATTAAGGTTGTGCCACTAGCGCGTGTAGACAGTGATGACATATGGATCTGAGACGTCGACCTTCACTGCTGGCCGTATGAGAAATCTCAAGGTCGCTCAGTTAGCTTTCGAGAGAGCTATTTTATAAGTATATTAATGAATTGCAACTCTAATCAATCATATTTTTTACTTTAAAGCTAAAGCATCTCTCCAACTGGAATCGCAACACGAGACCGCATTAGAAAAAATCCAGCAATTGGAAGATGCCACACGTTATCACCGTAGAGAAGATGTTGAAGTTACTGTTAATCAAGCACCTCGATTTGTGACTCATTTGAATGGTCCGACAAAACTAATTGAAGGACAAAGTGCGCACTATGAATGCCGTATTGAACCATATCCTGATCCTAATATGCGCGTCGAATGGTACTTTAACGGAAAAGTTCTGCAAAGTGGCCACCGTTATCGTACTGCTTATGATTTCGGGTTTGCAGCTTTAGATATACTTACAGTTTATGGTGAAGATTCTGGTGAATACACTTGCAAAGTTATAAATAACTTAGGACAAGCAACATCAACAATTAAACTAAATGTTCAATGTAAGTGAATTTTATTATTACAACATTTATGAATAACTTAAATTTATTAAATGTACCAACTAGACCGGGTGTGAAGGGGTTATAAGTGACCCTTTTTTCTAACCAATTTCACTTTAACGCGATATCTCATATACATAGTTGACATAGGCTCTGGGGAACGAAATCCATACAAAAAATAGTACCCAAATTTTTCAGATAGGTAGTGGGAGCAGCTTTATGAGTGCCCATATACCCATGTAATGCGTTCACCAACACGGTGAGTATGTTATCCTGCATAGTGTGGCGCGTGTGTGGACAAATGTGCCAAGTCATTCTTGTCAGCTGGTGCATTTTAGATTTAGGATTTTAATTTATACATCAGTTGGCTTGAATACCTACTCTCGATGACATGTACGAGTTAGATTCTTTAAGTCCAAGTTTGAGGTTTGCGTTTACCTGTTTGTTTATGAAAACTGGTAAAATTCTCGCACTGCCCGAGCTCTCAGAAATATTAAGTTTATGAGTGAGACTCAGGTCAGGTTCAAGCTAACGGTAAAATTATAACTGTTATTGAACGCAAACTCTCTTAACTTTTCTGTTAATATCAAATTTCTTTCTTCTTTTAGCCAAGGAATCAATAATTAGAGACACACAACATGAAAGTGCGCTTGAAAAAATTCAGTACTTGGAAGATGATTCCAGATATAAACGAGTTATCCATGAGGAGAGTTTTATTGCTGAAAAGCCTCAATTTGGAAAACCTATTAAAAACGCTGAAGTGCCCGAAGGCAAACCAGTACATTTAGAAGCTACCTTAACGCCAGTTAACGATCCAACCATGCGAATTGAATGGTACTGTAACGGAAAGCCCATACAACAAGGACATAGATTTAAGACTACATATGACTTTGGATACGTGGCTTTGGATATTTTGTACGCTTATGCCGAAGATAGTGGGACGTACATGTGTAAAGCTACGAACGCAGTCGGTGAAGCTATTACGACAAGTTCGGTGAAAGTTGATGGTGAGAATTTTTTTTATTTGCTTATATTTTCATCGCCAGGTAGATACTTTAAGAACGATGGTTAGAGGCCTTGGCTGTTGATTAGACAACGGTATTAAATTGGACGTTTAAGCCGTGTGTTAGATATTAATTTCATTCAACGAGAGAGACAATGCATTTAGCCCTTCCGTTCAATGATATTAATAAAGTGACCATAAGAGTGTAAACATCTCTGGTCTTTAATTTCCTTTATTGCTTTATGTATTAGATAAATGTTTCCACAGTTTTGAACTGGCCCAAGACCTAGTTCATCCACGCCTCAATCCATTATCGCTTATATTACTTAAAAGATCAAAGAATAAACTCATATTTTTGACAAGGTTTACAGAAGTAACACAGCGGCAAAATGGTCAGCAGTTTTCAAAAAGCTAACTTTCACCAGTCGTTAATTGTTAAAAGATAATTGTCTAGGCAGATAGCTAGACGCCTAACTTAATGCGTTTAATTGAATGTTTTGAGAAACGTTATTTCGTTTCTCAAAATATTTTATTAAAAAGAAAAAGAGGTAATTTTTTTAATTAATATGGAAATGAAATGCCAAAATTTATTTAATCTATAAGACAGTTCGCAGTATTTTCTACATAGGATGGTCAAATACTAATCTACAGAATTGTTAATTTTCGCTGTTTGTTCAGAATCTTGTATAACATTTTATCACTGCATTATCGGGAGGATATTGAAGGAAAAAATAATGTTTCTCAATTATTATAACTATGATTTATCCACCACATCATGCACTCGTAATATTTTTATTTTACACTATTTCGGCGCCGTGTTTTACTTCGCTGACGAGGGTTAATGCTATTATCAAAAAATATATTATTTTTGCTAATATGATCGTATCCGCAAGTGACAAAATAGATTTACGTCTATTTTAATCACTTGGTCCAATCATATTTTTAAATAATGATTAGTGTTATGTTTTATAGTTTAAGTTTAATGCCTAATATAAAATTTTTCTTATTTAAATTGAATTGATTTAATACAATAAGTACATATCACAAGCTTCATTTTACAAAATATGAATGTGTAATTTTTATTAGGTTTTTTCTATACAATTAAAATTTGATACAAATTATAATTCATTTTAGCTAAAGAATCTTTATACTTGGATACTCTGGATGCGCAAAGATTAAGAAAGATCCAAGAGCTTGAAAAATACGAGAGACCTAAGCCAGTAGAAGAGGAGCAGCCAGGTCAAAGACCAGTGTTCTTGACTGCTCTAACAAGTCTTGAAAATCTTAAAGAAGGTGATCGTGCTCACTTTGAATGTAGAGTCGAGCCTATAAATGATCCTGATCTTAAGATTGAATGGTTCCTCAATGGCCAAAGAATCAAAACTGGTCATAGATACAGAACGACACATGATTTTGGTTATGTTGCACTAGACATATTATACACATACAGTGAGGATTCTGGTACTTATATGTGCAAAGCATCAAACAAACTTGGTGAAGCAGTTAATACATGCACGTTGAAGGTTGCAGGTAAGAACTATTGTATTGTAGATTATAATATACTACCTGTTCCCCGCGACTTCGCCGCGTGTTATTTAGGGTTTTAATTTTTTTGCGCGGAACCCTAAGTCTTTTTTTAATATAAAAGTAGCTTAAGTTACTCTTCATGATATCAGCTATCTGCTAGTGAAGTTCCATCAAAATCGGTCGAGCCGTTTCGGAGATTAGCCGGAACAAACAGACAGACAGACAAAAATTTTAAAAATTGTGTTTTGATTATAAATACCGTATATACTTTCATATGCATTTAGTAAAAAGATGTTATTTTGACATTACAAACAGACACTTCAATTTTATTTATTTGTATATATACAGAGTGATCCAAATAGTGACGTCCAAAAGCAAAATTTTAATTCCCCACACCTAGGGGTTTCCGAAAATACCCCATGAATATTATCCGATTTTTGTAGTTTTCGAGTTATAATTTGTTTTGTATTTTTTTAGTGTTTTCTGCCGGTGGGGCTTCAAAAATTCATATCATTTTTGTAGTAGTTATTTGTCGGATTTATTTCCTTTTGACATGATTGTTTTAAATTATATTTTCACAAATAAAATTCCTAATATTCCTGCAAGTTACTCAAAAAAGCATAGAAAGTAAGAATTTTAGTTTTTAATGGGGTAGACTCAAACTTTCATCCTTAATTTAAAAATACAAAAAGCGATTCTATAGATTTTAACTGACTTTAAAAACTTTGCATATAAGCTAATTAAAACATTAAAAAAACTGGTACGTAACGGGCAATTATTCGCTGTAATCGGCCTACGAAGCTAAAAATCCACAACATTTTTTAAGCTTTAAAAAAATATTTTGCCTATTTTTGCCATCCCTACGGCAAATTTTAGTGGAAAATTTTCAATTGCATTAAAATGTACACAAATTGACCGATAAAGATGATAAAAGGATGATAATTTGTAAACATTTAAAGAAATAAGGTGTAATTTATTGATTAGGTCATTTGAGCTTATTTTTGTATGATAACAAAACAATTTGTCAAAAATTAATCATTTTAATTCTTTACTAAAGCTAGTTTTCAAAATGACGCCCTCCTATTTAAATACAAAGATGTACACAAATTGACCGATAAAGATGATAAAAAGATGATAATTTGTAAAAATTTAAAGAAATAAGGTGTAATTTATTGATTAGGTCATTTGGGCTTATATTTGTATGATACAAAACAATTTGTCAAAAATTAATCATTTTAATTCTTTACTAAAGCTAGTTTTCAAAATGACGCCCTCCTATTTCAATAGAAAGATGACAGCGTTTTAAAAAGTTATGTATTACTGTCTGAAAGAACGTGAATGAGTTTTTTTTAATTTTTCTTTTCTCCCAATTCTTCTTCATTATCTACTTCCCGCGCGTATACCAGCTCCTTGCAAAATCCCCAAATAAAGTTGATAGGTTTTAGGTCTGACAAACGTGCAGGCCATTCGATCGGTTTTATCGAGAAGTTTCGTTGAGATGCTGTCTGACTTGACTTGCGTAGTGCCAAGAAGCCCCGTCAATTTGAAAAATCATTTGTTGTCGTACCGCTACGTTCGCGTCTTCCAACAATTCATAAAAGTGATTTTGTACAAAATTTAAAAGTCCGTCCATCTAACCTGGACGGTAATTCTAAGGGACCGATAAATTCTCCATTTACGATCCCAGACCACAAGTTAACGCTAAAGTTGTGTTCAATGCACTTGCCAGACGTGGGATTTTATGGCCCCGATATAGTAATTAAAGATATTAAAATTTCCAGTATTTTCGAATCTGGACAATTTTTTTGAAAAAATCAGGGTCTTCTTCAGATACAACATGGTTTCACAAAAAACTATTCTTCTTCGGTAATCCTATAATTTCTGGATTCCTATAATTGCTGGACGCGCGGGATATGGTACGCATGGTACCCCTCTGCAAAACAAAAGAAAAATCATAATTATCACAAGTTAAAATCTTAAAACTGGTATAAGAGCATATTTTAAGGCTCACCTTTATAAAGAATTCTTAGAACCGAAGTTCGTGGAGCTCCAGTTCGTGTGGCTATTCTTCTTGAACTTGTAGACGGGTCTCTTTGGACTTCTTCCACGACTTTGTCAACTTGATCCGGATTCCGGGCTACTGGTTCGCAAAATTGATTGCAACTGTGGGCATGTCCAGCCATTATTACTCACGTAAAATAACACGAGCAAGACACTTACAAAACAATAATTCATAATTTGTAATTGTTAAACGGATTTTCGACCCTATATTTTTTTTACATTTTATTACTTAAATTTACATAAGAATGACAAAAATTGGCAAAATATTTTTTTTTAATTAAATTTTTTTGTGGATTTTTAGCCTATCCATCTTCGAAGGCTGACTACAGCGAATAATAACCCATTAAGTACCAGATTTTTTTTTACTATTTTAAATAGCTTAGGGACAAAGTTTTTAAAGTCAGTTAGAACCTATGGGAATTCCTTTTTGTATTTTAAATTGAAGTTGAAAATTTGAGTCTACCCCACTAAAAACCAAAATTCTTACTTTCTTGTCCTATATATATATATATATTTATATATACATCTTTATATATAAAAATTACGTGTCACGTTGTTTGTCCGCGATGAACTCCTAAACTACTGAAATGATTTCAATGAAATTTTGCACACTGTGAGCTGTTTGGTCCAACTTGAGAGATATGATAGTTTTTATCCTGATAAGTGACACTCATATATATATATATACCATCATTACAGCCCTTCACAAGTCCACTGCTGAACATAGGCCTCCCCCAAGGAATGCCACAAAGCACGATCCTGAGCCACCTGTATCCATCGACTTCCTTCATATCTTACCAGGTCGTCACTCCATCTAATTGTATAATTCTGAAACTACATTTCTATCATTCTTTCTTACTTTTATAGGGCACAGAAACATTATATTGGACACTCAACATCCAAATGGGCTCGAGAAAATAAGACAATTAGAAGCACAAGGTCATCCTGCTAGAATAGAAGTCGAAGAGCCCAAAATTTCACCACCCCGGTTCGTTACTGAACTGCGAGGAACAACACACGTTTATGAAGGCCAAACTGCGCATTTTGAATGTCAAGTTGAGCCTGTACATGATCCTAATTTGAGAATTGAGTTTTACCACAATGGCAAAGCCTTGCAATCTGCATCACGATTCCATATCACTTTTGATTTTGGTTATGTGTCATTAGATATTCAACACTGTGTACCGGAAGATGCTGGTGAATACTCCGTAAAAGCTATAAATGCACTGGGTCAGTGTACATCCGCAATATCTATGACTGTAACTGCAAAAGGTAGCATTATATCGGAATCTCAGCGTCCTGAAGGATTAGAGAAAATCAAAGAGTTGGAATCCGCTGAACCATTTAAACGACCTGAAATCCCTGAACCAGTAACTAGACAACGACCTGTGTTTACACAGCCACTTCAAAATATTGATAATATACAAGAAGGCCAGACAGCGCACTTTGACTGTAGGCTTATTCCTGTTGGAGATCCAACACTCAAAGTAGAATGGTTCCGCAATGAAAAGCTTATTGAAGACAGCTCAAGAATTACCAAAACGCATGATTTTGGATATGTATCTATGACTATTACTCACGTACGCGATGAAGACGAAGGAGTTTATATGTGCAGAGCATCCAACCTATTAGGAGAAGCAGTGACTACCGCTGCCATGAGAATAAAAAGTATGTACGATGTTCATACCTATAAATGAAATATTTAAGAAAATTATACATTACATGAAACAAAATATATAATGTCATATTGCACAATTTCAAAGCTAATGTTGTTTTTCAGCTAAAGCAGCTATTCAAATGGAAACGCAGCATCCGGAAGGTATGAAGAAAATTCAAAGATTAGAAGAGCCACAAGCTAAACGGCCAGAAGAACCAGAGCGTGAATTTGAGAAACCAATATTTACACAAGTACTTACTGGTCCTTCAGAATTATGGGAAGGACAACACGCCCATTATGAAGCACGCGTTGTTCCTGTTGGAGATCCAAGCATGCGTTTCGAGTGGTATATAAATGGCGTGGAACTCAAAATGGGTAAGAAAATATAATACTACATACAAACTAGTTCGATATTATTATTATAAATTATTTTTTAAATGTTAAAATAAATGTTACTTTTCAGGCTCGAGATTCCGCACAACACATGACTTTGGTTTTATTACCTTAGACATAAACTCGGTTGTTTCGGATGACGCTGGTTTATATATGTGCAAAGCAATAAATAAAGCTGGTAGTACAGTGTCTTCAACTTCACTTAAAGTAAAGACAAAATCTACAATAGTAGATTCGACTATGAGACCAGAATCGTGGGAACAGATACAATTAAAAGAAGCAGCCATGAACAAAGTTCCAGAAATGTTTATCGATTCGGGAGTGCAACAAGCGCCTATTTTCACCACTCATCTAAAAAGTTACGATAAATTAGTTGAAGGACAACATGTACACCTAGAAGCTCAAGTAGAACCACGAACTGATCCCAATTTGAGAATCGAGTGGTTTAAAAACGGAGTTTCCTTAACTACTGGTTCCAGATTGAAGAGCACATTTGACTTTGGATTAGTTACTCTCTCTATAAACTCTTTACGAATTGATGATTCCGGAATTTATACGTGCAAGGCTACCAATTTAATGGGAGAAGCAGTATCTACTGCATCCATAAAGATCGAAGACCGTCACTGGTTACTTGGCGAGTCACTTCACCCTGAATCTTTGGACCGGATTGGAGCATTGGAACGACCTAAGCCAGCGAAGCCCGAAACACCGGAGCCTGTATATGAAATACCAGTATTTATTTCTCATCTAAATAATATAATTTGTAAAGAAGGTGATAATATTCATTTTGAATGTAGTGTTGAACCATCTAGGGATCCTACTCTCAAGATTGAATGGTTCTTTAACAACAAACCTCTCCCATCGGGAACTAAATATAAAAGTACTCATGATTTCAGTTATGTAGCTTTAGATATAACTCACACTTATGAAGAAGATTCTGGTATTTACACTTGTAAAGCCACTAATGCCAAGGGTTCTGCTACAACTTCAGGATCACTAAGATGTACTGGCGATAAGAACATTTATTTCGACACGCAACATCCGCAAGGAAAGGCTGGCTTAGAAGCTGTTGAACAGGCTGAAGAAGCTAGGCTTTCTAAGAGCAGAAGAACATCTCTACCAGATACTGAATATCCAGCACCCGAATGGGTAGTAACATTATCCGCTGAAAATAATTTGATAGAAGGACAAGCACTTCATCTTGAGGGTCAAGTTGAACCTAAAAATGACCCGAACTTAAAATTAGAATGGTACTTCAATGGAAAAGTCCTCGAGCAAGGTTCAAGATTTAAATTAACCAGCGATTTCGGATTTGTTACTTTAGACTTAATTGACGTTTATGAAAGAGATAGTGGTATTTATACGTGTAAAGCTTATAACAAAAAAGGTGAAGCATTTACGTCTTCCACCGTTTATTGCACAAGTAAAGAAAATCTTATTGAAAAAACTCAGCATCCTAAAGGTGTTGAAGGACTGGAGAAGATTCAAAACCTTGAAGATTATCTTCGCAAGGAGCCAAGTGTTAAACCGGACGATGACACCGGAAGACCTCCTGAATTCACTACGGTTTTCACAGACATAGTTGATATAAGTGAAGGTCAAATTGCCCATTATGAGGCGTCCCTTATACCTACTGGTGATCAAAGTATGGTAATCGAATGGTTCTATAATGGAAAAGCTATTGAAGCCAGTCATCGTATCCGTACTGTGTATGCCTTTGGAATGGTAGTCTTAGAAATCCTCGGTACAAAGACTTCTGACTCGGGAACATATTCTTGTCGGGCAACTAACAAGTGGGGTCAAGCTGAAATAAGCTGCAGATTAAATTGTGTTGATAAAAGCAAGGGACAAAAACCTCGCTTCACTACACATATTCAAAATATTGAAGGCCTCAAGGATGGACAGTCAGCTCATTTCGAATGTACATTAGTGCCCGTTGATGATCCAGATTTGAAAATAGAATGGTACCATAATGGGCAACCATTACGCCATTCAACCAGAATAAAAACAGTTTCAGATTTTGGATTTGTCGTTCTTGACATAGCGTACACCCAAAACCATGATACTGGTGAATACGTTTGTAGAGCCTATAATAAATATGGTGAAGACTTCACCAAAGCTACAATAACATGTTATGGTAAAGGTGGTGTTTACTTAGACAGTTTACAACCTGATTCACTTGCTAAGATTAGGGAGTTGGAGAGTCTTCAAGGAGTACAGCAACAATCACTTCCTGCACCTTCCGCAGAACCACCTAAATTTATCACTCAAATTCAAGATGTAACGAAATTAGTTGAAGGTCAAAGTGCACACTTTGAGGCAAGATTAGTGCCGGTTGATGATCCAGACTTAAAGGTTGAATGGTACTATAATGGTAAAAAATTACCCCACGGACATAGGTATAGAACTTTCCACGATTTTGGTATCGTAATTTTAGATATTTTATATTGCTACGAAGAAAATTCTGGTGAATACGAATGTATTGCAACTAATAAATTAGGACGTGATTCGACAAAAGCAAGTCTGAAGTGCACATCAAAGGAGAATTTAATCTTGGACTCGCAACTCCCGCGGGTAAGTTAAGTGATTCTTAACAGGCATTTATTTATAATTTTATAGCTATTAATGTTATAGTAGAGATATTCTACTGTATATTATATTAACTCCCATGGGGAAAGAGATATATCAGGAAAATCTGGCGACATCCGACTGATGCGGTATAACTATTTTTTAAATATTTGATCGTAAATATTCAAAACTCCGACAGAACTCTGGTGACTTTATCATCTCCAGTCTATAGTGTACAAAAGTGACTTTTAATAGGCTAGTAAAAATTACAATGACATATTTATCGGTTATGATATTTTAATTAACTATTATTGTTTAAGCTTAATTAAATGTAATATGATTTCTTCTCAGGGCATGGAAGGAGGCTTAGAAAAGTTGCAGACATTGGAGGATTCTATGATACGCAAAAAGGAAATAACTATAGATGAACAACGAGGCAAAGCACCTGTATTTACAGTACCACTTTCCAATATAGAAAACTTGAGAGAAGGAGAAAATGCACATTTCGAAGCACGTCTTACGCCAACCGATGACCCCAACTTAAAGGTAAGAATTGGCAGTATCTTTGTAAACAAAACTATATGTAAATTATGTAAAAATATCATAAATTCTATAAAACGGAAAACATTAATGAAATATTTTTTTTAAGGTTGAATGGTATTGGAACGGAAAATCTTTAAAAGCTGGATCTAGGTTTAGAACATTTTGTGACTTTGGCTTTGTCATACTCGAAATATCTCCTACGTACCCAGAAGATTCCGGAGAATATTCATGCCGGGCTTATAACAACTATGGTGAGGCAGTCACTACGGCTACCATGAAAGTCCAAGGAAAGAGAAACATCATTTTGGAATCGCAACTGCCAAAAGGAATGGAAGGTACTATAGACAAAATTGCTGCTTTAGAAGGGTATACTGGTACAGTAGATTCTTTGACTCCCGAAACTGAAAGTGGCAACCCACCTGAATTTATTACTACGCCGTCAGATCTTATATTGTCGGAAAATTCTTCAGCACACTTTGAATGTCGCTTGATTCCCGTCAACGATTCCAGCATGAGAGTTGAATGGTTCCATAATGGTAAACCACTTCTTACGGGTTCTAGAGTAAAAACAATTAATGATTTTGGATTTGTTATATTAGAAATTGGTGGAGTTTACCAACGTGATGCTGGTCTTTACACTTGTAAAGCTACAAATAGGCACGGGGAAGCAACTGTATCGTGCAAGTTACAAGTTAAAGGAAGGCAAGGAATTATTCTTGAGCCCCAACTTCCATCTCACTTTAAATCAGGAACTGAAAGTATTCAAAAGTTAGAAGAAACATTGTACAAACGTGAAGAGATAACTGTGGAGGATGAAAAACCAAATCCACCGAGATTCACAGTAGAAATTAAAGATAACCTTGATGTGCCTGAAGGTGGACCGATCCACTTCGACTGTCGGGTTGAACCTGTTGGTGATCCAACAATGAGGATTGATTGGTTCCACAATGGAAGGCCATTTGCTACTGGCTCTCGAGTACATATGTTAAATGACTTTGGTTTTATTGCTTTAGATATCGATTACATTTATAGTCGGGACGTAGGTGAATATACTTGTCGAGCGACTAATAAGTGGGGATCAGCTACAACTACAGCAAAAATAACGTGTAGTACAAAACGAGACATTGTACTAGAATCCCAGTTGCCTCAGGGAATGAGTGGAGAGAAAATTAAAGAACTGGAAAGGGGACGCATTAGTGATGCACCTAAAGAAGAACATGTTGTTAATACTCCACCAAAATTCATAACACAAATCCAATCACATACAATTGAAGAATCAGAATCCGTACGTTTTGAATGCAGAGTAGAACCTAAAGAAGATCCTAAGTTGCGTATTGAGTGGTACAGAAATGGGAAATTGTTACCATCAGGACATAGATTCCGTACTGTATATGATATGGGTTTCGTTTCCCTTGATATATTATATGTCTACGCCGAAGATTCAGGCGAATATGTATGCCGCGCGATTAATGACTTTGGTGAAGATACTACTAAAGCAACAGTATCATGTAAACGTATGTATAATACTAATGTTGAATTATATTTAATTTAAACATTTGTATTTTACTTTTAATATTATTAATATTTTTTGTTTCTAGGTTTGCCTGATATAATACTCCAAAATCAGGTACCCAGAGGTATGAAAAAATCGGAAGCTTTAACTCAAATGGAGGCTACTATTAAAAAATACACGTCTGAAGTCTTTTTGACCGAAGACGATCTATACGATGCTGATAAAAAACAGCCACCTCGTTTTGTAACACAAATTCAGAGTCAGACTACTTTAGTGGAGATGGAATCAACCAAATTTGAATGTCAGCTGGCGCCAGTAGGAGATCCTAATATGAAAGTTGAATGGTTTTTCAATGGCAAGCCACTTCTACATAGTAAGTGAATTTGTGATTTATATATAAATTTAGGTAAAATAGTTGCATGAGATGATGGTTATGCTTTCCAAGCTAATTATCTGTAAAATATTACATACTCAAGAAATGATTGGGTAAATATAGCAAATCTTAGTATGTAAAATAAACTTACGATTAGCTGGCTAAACTTAATACGATTTTATTTGAGGCTAATGTTCGGCATCATTTTGTTGAGCAATAAACTTTTTCATCTTAAACCGAATAAATCATATATTATTACATAAACGTTCAAGTTTTTATTAGATCCAGTCACACCTTAATCTACTGGCGACCGGCTACACCCTTTTTTTTAGCTTTGAATAGATCGATGTGTATTCGAGTTTAACCAAGTAGTGTGTAGTTTTAGTTATTGGATATTAAATAGATATAATAAACGATAATAATCATGTTGTGACTTCTTTTATAAAACTGAAGTGATAAAGAACTTATATTAGTTCACTTTATGGTAAGTGACTAATGCAGTCCAAGGACGCCTGCAGCCAACAGATGCTTTGGCACCTCTGAGAAGATGGAATGTCTCACAGTCTCTAATTATAATGGTTCTCTTCATACCGGAACATAGCAGTGCAAGCACTACTATTTGACGACAGTTAAATGTAAGAGCCTCTTATATTTAACTGTGAATGTGTACCAGATGAACTCGTAGACAGAAAAGGATTCATTCATTTGCTTTTTTCGTTTCATTTTCAATTGCTTTTTTATAGAATAAGGGTGGTAAGGTAAGGTACACAGTTCATCTGATGGTAAGTGGATGCTGTAGACCATAGACATTTACATCTACCCTCAGTGAAGAATCAAAATGCTGAAGCGTTGTCACCCCTGAGGACCAAGATGCCGTGCCAAGTGAGTGTCCGACTCACTACAGTTACAATGAAACTTAGCAGCATTAAGCTGTTATTTTACGCTGGTATTCTGTGAGAGAGTGGTCCTATCCCAGTCGCGTATATAATAGAATAGAATATGTAATTTTAGACTTCCCTTTTATGACAATTGAGGATTCAAGCAACAAACACTTAATTTTTTTTTCAGAAAATCGGTTTACACCAATTTATGATTTCGGTTACGTTGCAATGAACTTTGGTTGGGTATATCCCGAGGATAGTGGCGAATATCTGTGTCGTGCTACCAATCTTTATGGTATGGATGAAACAAGAGCTGTAATTAAAACTGCTGGCAAGCCAGGTATTGTGTATGATTCACAATTGCCAAAACATATGAAGAGTATTGAGAAAATTCGAGAGATGGAAGCATCATGGCAAGTGTAAGTACTCATACATTATTACTAGGCCTGCAATTTTTCTATGTTTAAAAAATACCAGTACATATTAAAAATCTAAAAGATGTTCTTTTAACTTATCAGTTATAAAAGATATGATTTTTGTTGATTTTTGATGAATATTTTTAAAATGTTATTCTTTTACATTTTTACGTATAGAGCACCGGAGCCAGCAGTTGAAGAAACAAAAGAACGTTGTGCACCTGTCTTTGTGAGCCGACCCGAACCAGTAACAGTTGAAGAAGGGGAATGGGCTCGGTTTTGCTGTCGTGTTACCGGCCATCCTAAGCCGCGTGTTATGTGGCTTATAAATGGAAATACTATCGTTAACGTAAATTGAAGTCCTTGTATTATTCTTGTACAAAGTGTGTCGAGTGTGTTTGAAGTTAAACCTAAATTTTTGTAATAATTACAGGGTTCAAGATACAAACTGACTTACGACGGAATGTATCACTTGGATATACCCAAAACTAGGCAATACGATACGGGAAAAATAGAAGTAATTGCCAGGAGCTCGGTTGGCGAAGCAGTAGCCACGACCGAATTAAAAGTAATTCCAAGACATGACGATTACAGAAGTGTTCTTAAAAATGCACCAAGACGTAAGTATTAATTTAGTTTTCTATGTGATGAAAATTGCAGTTAAATATGCCATATACCATTTGCCAGCTGCTATTTATTAAACATGCGTGTAGACTATTTATATTTAATATTTATTAAAGAAAGAATGAATAAGTAATAACGCTTTAGCACACATTGCCAATTATGCACACACAAACACTCTGCTTAATCACAATATAACTTCCTATGCTTCCTTTTTCCAAACATCCTATCCTATTCTTGAGATGGCGTGCCGCTTAATCACCTGCTTCTTCCGGCTTAGCATCGGATATTTGTGGAGGTATGTTACAAAGTATTTAGATAATATAATATTATAATTAAAAATGTAAGAGTAATTTATTTATGATTGACGTACACAGCTTGGTACGACGAAACAACACAATATCAACGAACTGGAACTGAGCTAGAAAAGACGTTTGAAGAAAGGCAAGTAATGCAACGACAAGGGGCAATTGACCATAGGCCTGAATTAAAGCCAAAAGTTATAAAAGAACCCGAAACTGAGTGGCAACAAACAGTTAAAAAGAAGAAAAGTGAGGAATATTACAATAAGATTCAAGAATTGGAAAACGAGCAAGTCGTAAAGGAAAGCAGATTGAGAGAATCAACTCATCAATATGCCATTCCTGGTGAAAAAGTAACGAGTAGCTCGGTTGCAAGGTCAATGGCCCAGAAATACGAAAATAATTTGTAAGTAATTTAAAAAAATGGACAATGTTTTTCACTGATTGTAACATATTTTAATTTTAATGCTAATTCATTTTTTTGTTACAGAGAACAAACTGAGGAAGTCATTGAAAAACAAGTACAGAAGAAAACTCTTAAGACTAGAGTCCCAGAGCCATCCGAGTCTGTTATTCATGGCAAGGAGGTTCATGTAGCTAAACAGAAGCAAATTCAAAAAGAGGTTGTTGGTGACACCGAAATCACGCGTAAAATTATTTCAACTGAAACAACTGAGGTTGAACATAAAGGCCAAACTCATGAAAGGGTCGTTGAAGGGCCAGTAAAACCTTGTAAGCCACCAGTATTTACAAAAAAGATGCAACCTTGTCGTGTTTTTGAACATGAACAGGCAAGGTTTGAAGTTGAATTTGATGGGGATCCATTACCTACTATTAAATGGTATAGAGAAAACTTCCCTATTAAAAATTCTCCTGACTTTCAAATTCACACTTTTAGTACGAAATCTATATTAATAATCCGACAAGTTTTTGTTGAAGATTCAGCTGTGTTTGCAGCTGTAGCTGAAAATAGAGGGGGTACTGCTAAATGCAGTGCTAATTTGGTGGTAGAAGAACGAAGGCGTCAGGGAAGAGGTGGGGTTATTCCTCCAAGTTTTACTCTGACGGCACAAAATGTTAACGTAACTGCCGGTCAACTCGTTCGTTTTGACACAAAAGTAACTGGAACTAAACCGATAGACGTGTATTGGCTTAATAATGGCAAGAAAGTTCAGCCTGATATAAGGAATAAGATTCTAGAAGAAGACGGAACATACACACTTCTTATACTCGAAGCTTACCCTCAAGATTCGGGTAAATATGAATGTGTTGCAATCAACAGTGCCGGCGAAGCAAGATGTGATGCCGAATGTATAGTATCTGCCCCTGCTACCAAAGAAAAACCTAAGCCTCAAACTAAAGTTGCCAATGCACCTCCTGAAATTATTGAACCTCTGAAAGATAGAGTCGTTACCGAGGGACAAGCAATAGAATTTGGATGTAAAATAGTTGGTAAACCAACGCCAACAGTGCAATGGTACAAAGGCGATAAATTAATAAAACCTTCGAAATACTTCCAAATGTCTAGGACGGCGGATGATTATACTTTACGCATATCTGAAGCATTCCCTGAAGACGAAGGTGATTACAAATGTGTAGCTTACAATTCTGCAGGCAGAGTAACTGTAGCAGCGAAGTTGAAGGTTATCCAACCTGACCAAGCCGATAATTTACCCACACTTACTCCTCTACGAGACGTTGTTGTTTATGAAGGCCAACCAGCACAATTCAAAACACAAATAACTGGCAAGATCAAGCCTACGATTCAATGGCTTCGTGAGGGAGCACTTATTCCTGAAACCCCCGACTTTCAGGTAAGTCTTAATATTTTTCTTAAAAAACATTACACGCACTTTTGAACTTTCTTGTGTATAGCAGAGGCATTTTATACACATAAATTTCGGCAGGAAAATAACCGGTCCCGTAAAAATTAGTTGTAGAATTTATACCTTGTGGAATTCGAATCCGTGGCCCACAGTGCCATAACTTAATGCTAAGATACTGTGCCACGGAGCCGTTTTTAATTCTAATGAACAATTATTATTCTGTCAGCATATAAGGCGTTTTATATATTAATATGGTATTGTTTTTTCATTACAGATGATTCATGAAGGTAACAACGCAGTGCTGCTTATCGGTAACACTTATGAAGAGGACACTGGAACTTTTACTTGCCGTGCAACAACTGCCGCCGGCCAAGTCGAGACTTCGGCAAAGCTAGTCGTCAAAAGTAAGACATAGATACAGGCAGCGAGCTCGCGTCGCGCACTTTAATCCATTAATTTAGTGTTTCTTTGTTTCATTTCTATACAATCAATGAGATCGGGTGAAAACTACTATCACATAGGATAGACTTAAGTTGACAAGCGAAATATAAAACCTTCTCCATTGCTTCGCACAATCGTAGCGGTTCCCGCAGTAACGATTCCGCCCGCTTCGTAGTATCTCCTCGCCCCAAGTCATGAATTTATGACACATAGACTCCCCGCGTTTAATGTAGATATTGTTCAGTAAGTGGCCACATTAGTCACTCGCGCGTATGAAATTGACTGCAATACGTGCAAATTCTATAAAGAATTTTTATTGGATTCGATTTTAAAGTTAACTCCATAGAATGATCTGCGCGAACATTTGCATCTAACAATGCTGTATATTTAAGCTTTTTGTGTAAATAGTCTTAGTAATTCGACGACGCAAGCTACTACTGGAGGTCATCGAGCAACGAGCCACGAGCTTCTATGAATTGGGATACACGTAACATGTGATTAACAAGAACACAAATATCATACAGTTGTTTTGTTTGCTTTTTACCGCTACGATGTTTACTAAAAGTTGTCGTTCAAACGATATTTTTTTGTAAATCAATAAGTTTCAATTTCGTGATACATATGTCGCGTCTGGCGAAAGTGTCAAATGTATTTTTCACCCAATACTCTTAAAAATATTTAAAGCCTGGCTTAAAGTTAATGGTTTATTTTGCATTATTAACAATAAAAAGAGATTGTTTTATTTGAATGCTTTTTGTGTTAAACTGAGATCTATCTAATATTGGAAAGTATTGCAAAGATTTCAATTTTCTGTTTCCTTCTTCATGTCATTCAAAAACGAAATCGATCATGTATATGAAAGTGCTACATATAATTTGTGTCACTGAAGTCGCAAATACTATTTAGTGCTGTTTATATAATCTACGCAATTAACAAACACAACCACAAGTGTAAAGTTCAAACAAGTCTTTTTTCCTTTTATTTAAGGTTTCTTAGCTTTAGCTTTATCCTTAAGCATGAATCATTGTATGTATAGAAGGTTAAGATTATGCGATATAGTTCTGTTCACCTAACACACCTGCACGTAGGTGGCGGTGCATATTACATCGTCCCTTCATGTCACCTAACAGTTACGACTAACTTCCTCAGTGCTACGCCGTACCTGTTATAATATCGCGATATTGAGAGGTCATGTGAAGTTAGCATTTGTGGGTGGCTGTGGGTGGGTCGTTCACGCGGAGCGTAAAGTTAACCAATAATGTTTACCGTAATCAATTCCCTGTTCCGCTGTCAACTCTCCTATGACAAAGAAACATAAACTAGTGTTAGTCGCTCACCACTGCGGCGAACCACTAAAACAAAGTACGCACGCATTACTTGCCTTGCCAGTTTCTATGTTTTGACAAACACTGCCGATTTTGATGACCTAATGTTTTCTGCAAGTACAAATCCGAATTGAATGAGATTTATAGTTTAACTTTTCAGTGATCTTTAACTTAGTTTGTTTTAAGTGCACGATATTGTTAAAATTGAATTGTGTTGTATGTTTCACCTAAGTGTATTATTAGGCGTGACAGTATTTTTTCACTAAATATTTTTAGTACCTACCTATCCATATTTAATACTATATTTATTACGTAAATTTTGTATGTTACTTTTATGTGAACTGTTTAATAAATGCTATAAATTAATAATCATTTCGCATTATTCAACACACGCAGCAACATGAACTATAAGTAAAAATTCCTTAAACATAATATACACAAAGTAAAGGTTTTAAGCCAACAAAACATATTATATTTTTTCATATTAAACTCACGAAGCACTGATTTCACTTATATAAATTGAATGTCAAGTACCTAGATTTATCTTTATTAAAAATTTCGTAGATGGCTTTTGATCATGCATTGAATAGTTAGAGGTGCAATGCGCTTATCATTGATAATTTGTCCGGCCTTCTTTACCTAAAATTTTTCTATTCATGACATCTTTTTGAAAATTTTATTTTAATAAAACAGATTTCTTCTTTGCTACTGTTGTTACTAAACAGTTAATTAACCTTATTCTAATATAGTTTTTATAATGTGGAAGTGATCTTTAAATCACTAATTTTTAATCATGGCGGACTAAATATTTTTACGGTTAATTTCTTTCCAGTAGGCTTATCAATATCAAATACAAGTTAATATGATAAAATTGAGTGGCCTTATTCTAATAATATTTTATTTCTTCTTTTGATCATTGCATTACCCCAAGGTAGATTAGTAGAAATGTGTCTAGCATTAACTACGCCTATATGCCATACACGTGTAGACTTTTACACGCTAGCTACTAATTGAAGCGTGCATTTATCATTTAGTTATAGTAAAAGTACGAATATATTATTGACAATTGACACACCCATTATTTTAAGTTACAAAAAGATATTTTAAAATTATAACTATAAATCAAAATTCACAAGTTAAAATACACTTATTGCTAAAAATAAAAAAATACTACTAGATGAAAATTATGTTCAGTATTCGAATAAAATGTTTCTAAACAAAAGAAAAAATTATAATGGCGATGTTAAAGAGGCCCAATTTAAAGAAGAGACGTAAGTATTCTGTGGAGGTAAGTTATAAGATAGGTATTATTATTCCTAAATTTAACAAAGCAAGATGAATATGTTTGCCTCATAGGAAGTTTCTCGGTATAAGTTGAAGCCTCATTCAGATCTGCCCAAATGGATTGTGCGTGTCATAATATTATTATATAATTCGCTATTGCTTGGAAATAAATAATAAGTTGACAGTCCCGGCATGTCGATCCCAGGACAATCATGCCATAAATGTACTTTTTAAATTAAATTAAATCTATAGGGATCCACCAACGAATTACCTAATAATATTACCAAACTATATGAAGAGAAGATTGAAATTACTTTTTGATTACTTTGGCAACTTTATGATTAGGGCCCGGATTAATAAGTATAGAAAATATCAAAATATATACATATAATATGAACTGAAAATTCTAAAATATGGGAAAAATATGTGTAATAAAAGATAACGTGTACATTAAAACGATTCTTTCTTAAGAAAAACCAAAATAAAAGATATTACAATTTTACTTAACTTCTGTTTCATTGTTATTTGAATTCTTACAGTATATAATTACATATTATTTCCTTAAATTTTCAAAATTGTAACCTTTTCTGTTTGGACGAAATAATGCTTTGTACTGGCTGAATGATCTTTCAACATCACAAGATGTGATTGGAGCATATTTAAATTTGTATAATTCTGCAAGTGAGTAGGGCACATCTATGGTGCCTTCTAATGGTCCACACAGCATGCTGTTAATTTTATTTAGGGTATGAAGTCCTTTGTTTTTTCCAGTTCGTAGCTTAATTTTTGTCTTGCTACTTCAGCAACGGGACCTTCTGATTTTAAACCTTTTTTATATTTTTCTATAATGTTCAAATTATGATTTATAAAAGTGGAAGAACTTTCGAGTGCCTTTATCTGGTGTGATAAAAAGCAATAACTGCTATTTATGTAAAGCAAATCGTTACGTAGAATGTCATCTTGGAGAAGTTTTTTTGAGATTGAAATAGCATCAGCTTCGTTTTCCAATTCAAAAATAACACTTTTGATTTCACTGTAATACTGGGCATAGTATTCAACTGCTGTAAGCCAAATTCCCAAGCGGGTCAGCACTGGCTCTGGCGGTAAAGAAATTTCGGGATACATCTCTTTAAAGTTTGAGATACTACTTGGTGCTTTCAAAAAATGTTCTTTATGTTTGATACTAAACTGTCAAGCTTTTTTAACTGAGACCTTATGCATTCAGCTAATCTATTTATACCATGACCTTGGCTCACGTGAATCATTTTTGAATACAAAACTTGTAGAGCACCTGCAGATTTTACCATATAAGGAGCAGCATCGCTAAGTAGCAAGAAAACTTGTTCATGTTAAACTCCATCAGGCCACAAAACACTCACTGCATCATTAAAAGCTGACGCTTGGTGGTTGCATTTAGGAAGTTCTTCACACGCCAATAAAAAGTTCTTCACACGTCAATAAAAAGGATTTGCTGGCATTTTCTTCATCTAGACGTCCGATAATCACATTGCAAAAGCAGCGGTTTTTAGAATCTGTAATTTCGTCAATGGCAACACATACAGGGTCATCCTTAATATATTCACGAATCGAAACCAAACAATTGTCATAAATACCAGACAAATAATTTTGACTAAATGTGGATTCATCTGGAATACGTTTGCCAGAGTATTTTTCCATGAATTGTTTAAAAGGACGATTATTCAATTTCCATAATCGCTTCACATAATTCTTTCGAGAAAGTAGAACTTTGGAAGCTGCTTGCGAATGCATCAGTAAAAATTGTTTCTTCAATTTGTTCTTTCTTGTAATATTTTTCTTGTGTTTACCTGTAGACACGTGTTGTGATATCAAAAAACGTTGCTCGGTGGATATAGATTTTTCACAAGCATTGCAAAATAGTACTTTTCCATCTGTAGCTAGGGATTGGTTTGGGAAATATTCGATATACTTTTCCAATTTGAACCGCAATGGTTACTTTTCCTTAGGCATTTTTGCAGTGCGAGTAAGTAAAAAATAAAATCACACGCGACATTTCGACACGATAAGTAATTACGATCGTCAATAGCCGGGTACCGTAGCGCACAGCCAATGCCTCGGCTGATGTGGACGTGCCTCGGGCACACGTTTCCTCGCCCGAGCGCGGCTCGACCGCGAGCCATACGTTATCGGTAAACTAGACGCGCTCAAAGGTGCCTCAATATTCGCTGTTCGTTTGGTGTGTACGGCTGTATTTTGGCTCGTGAGGCTGTAGTGTTTGTTTTAGTTTTACTGAAGTCTCATGACCTCATGAGCAATCAGGATTAGTCGATTCATTTAATTCAACTGTACGGTACGTATAAGATACTGTGGGATCCAAAAGACTGTT